CCCCCTTAAAATAGTTGGGGTACGTGTCGCCTGTCACCCCCGTCCATGCTATTCACCAGAAGACAAGGCATTATACAGGCATTATACAGTAATTCGGCACCAAATCCTGAATTTACGTGATTTCCAACATTGTTTTTTATATGAAGAGAGTAGAATAGTAGGCCTATTTAAAATAAATCAATTATCAGTCATTATTATACTTTTTAAAATATCAACAATTATTTTACACTATTTGCAAATACATTTGTTTTATTGTATTAGCTATAAAATTTTAATTGGTGTTTTTAGGTAAGAAAATATAATAATAGGCCTATTCCTATATAGGGCCTATTGATATAAGATCACATACTTTTTTCCGACTTTTTTTTTAGTCTCAGCTGGGTCGGCACACACTGGGCAGGCCTCACTATTTGTCAATTAATCGTACCTATCATTGTATTTAAAATTAAAATTGAATTATTGTTGTAGATCCATCTACCCTGAAATTAAATATTACAGGGGTTACTATAATATCTAATAATTTCCGTGTTTACATTCTGGGACGTGACGTACGTACGAACTTGCGTACTTGCGTACGTACGTACGTGTGTTGCGTAAATGAGTACGCGCATACTGTTGAAGGTATGTTAACCAATCAAAAGCGTCAGCGGCAAATCAAATTAAAGCGCTTCGTAACCAAGGCACAGCACACACATCCTAGGCAGGGCGTATAAACCCAGTGAAATAGTTCAGTTTTCTTTGCTATAAAAATCACCTTTCCCATGGGTATATTTTGGTAAACTTTTTGTATGTTGTAGATATAAAATTTAACTATATATATTCATAAAAAAAACGTTTTGTTGCAATTATGTCCAACTTTGGTGCTTCAAATCCGTATTTCTGGTGGACTATATAGGCTATAGCGGATCAGAATAAGTAGCTCAGGTTCAATATCTTCTAATACCCATTTCACACTAGCAAAAAATATTACAACTTTTAAAAACTATTAACAAGTTGTAACAAGCTTGATATTCCGAGATTTTTGGTTCGTTTCACACATGCACTTTCAAACCATGAGAAATCTCGGGAAAACTCTGAAGAATATTATGACTAGGCCTAGAGGCCTAGGGTAGTACTAGTAGGCCTAGGCTAGTTGTAGGTTGTCCGAATTACATATCAACTTCTAAACTAGACCTGGTACCGAATTAAGAAGATTATAATTATTCCATGGTCCTTAGCCTTCGGAGAGTAAAACGAATTCAACTCCAGCTCGCTTGCTGTAGTCGAGCTGGCGAGAAAGATAGGCCTAGGCTAGCTAGGCGCAGTCGGGCCGCCGGCCGGTAGCTCACCATTGTTGTTAGAGGCAATCAGTGCAACAAGCATCATAATGATTCGCTGTCGGCGTATTTTACGAAGCCTCG